TGTGTGTGTGTGTGTGCGTGTGTATGGAGGGGGGGTTAAGAGGGTGAGAAGGAGGGGGCGGGGGATTCTGACAGGGTGTAAGTTCGTCACTACAGTGCAAAATTATGTCTGTGTTATTTTGGTCAGCTTATAATACAAATATCGTATGACGATAACAACGCAATGGACTCAATGAGGCCGAAACACGTGAGCAAACAGATCTTCCGACCGACGATGTCACAGAGTTCAATTTGTAAGCAGTCTGCAGGAAGAGATCAATGTCCTTCACTTTGAGAATTGGTCGCTTTTGAGGACAAGCGGGCTAACAAAGGAGCTTAACACTTACTGTTACCTCCTTGGGGCTAACCCAGATTTCGGGGGTTTCCACAAATCGTGACCTACACCAAAAATAGGCTCTGCCCTACCTATAGGACAAGTTTGGTTTTATCGGTGTGTATATTTGTTTGGTTATAGAAAAAACGCTCATTTTCTCAAAACAGCATTTTTTTTCGGGATAGCCCCCTGGTGCTTGATTAAAAACGACTAATTTATCTTGTGGTCCGTCCGTGAGCGTGCTGATACATGTATTGATTACTTCAAACTGTAAGGTTACTTACTTATTAAATGGGCTGACCATCGAATTGATCGTCTATCTACTTTCATTTCAGTAGAGGTTTTACGGCACTCGCGACTGCATAAGGTCATATGAGCGCCAGAAGATTAGAGATGTTACAAGAGAGAAAAAAAAACACATAAAAAAGAAGAAAGGGATATAAGGACGATAGATGTTTGATAGGAAAGAGGGAGCAAACCACACCAGAGCACCCGCCAACCATCCATCTCCGACAGGACGAGCACGAGCAAAGTAACCGACAGAGAGCCTTGCAAACTTCACCAGTGAGACAGTCGGTACATTACCAAGATCACTTGTATCTACACTAGATCTATAGAGCAACATACGTGTAACTAAAATTGTAGCTGACGGCAGTAGCGTTTGTTTTCGACAACTGCTCAAACTGGATTATTTTTTCTTTAAAATGCATACTCTTAGCTTGTGTCGTCATATAAAAGATAGAGGGATTTTGGGCGCACTGCAGATAATAAACTTACCCCCCCCTCCCCGCCCCCGCCCCTGACTCTCACACACCTGGTCTAAACTTTCAAAACACTTGGAATCAAGGAATGTGTCAGAAATTAGTCAGAATGCCTTACTATTTTAAAGGTGTGATAGTGGTATTAAACTTTTAAAATATTTTTGTTTTATTTGGAAGAGGAGGGGGGGTTGTTTCTTTATTAGTATTATTATTATTATGGTTGTTGTTGTTTTTTATGGTGGTGGGTTTTTTTTAGGGGGGGGGGGTAGATTTTTTTTTTTTTAAGCTGTCATGATTCTTTCATTAAGAAGCACAACAACAACTACACTATGGTGAACATACCTACCGGGCAATTTGGGCTTGTTGGCACCCAGCCTACGTCATTGGTGGTGCACCTTTGTGAGTGGGTTGATAATGACATCACGCGAGCTCAAATAGATTATCAGATATACTTCCGGTGTGAAGTATACTTCCGGCGTGAAGTTGTTCGCGCTTAGAATGACGCCTGTTGTTTGTTTGTGTGTGTGTGTTTGTGTGTGTGTGTGTGTTTGTGTGTGTGTATGTGTGTGTATGTTTGTATGTGTGTGTGTTTGTTTGTGTGTGTTTGTATGTGTGTGTGTATGTTTGTATGTATGTGTGTGTGTGTGTGTGTGTGTGTGTGTGTGT